TATCCAGCGCTGTGGTCACATTGGTTAATACCAGGAGTGCAAAGCTTGTTATCCTTTTTGTAGCTGAGAACCCTTTTAGTGCCCTATATCTTATTTGGATTTTGTTCATCTATTGTAGAGTTGAAGGTTATTCAGCCTACTTTAGTCACTCTGGTGTAACAACGTTGCATCTATTTTTTAATATGTGGGCTTGTTATTTACAATACAGTATGTTCCACAAAACCTTTCAGCTTCTTTTGTGAGATTATCTGTAAGCTCCCTATTAGAAGGTCGAAACTCAGCAATTATTGCTTTTTATGTTATCAAAAAGTAGTTTGAATCTTGAACAGCTTATTAAAAATATGAAGATGTTGTAAGCTGTTGTAAGTCAAGTTCTGACAAATGTAACATTTACATTATTTTTGTGTCATTCTAAGGGCCATGTAATTACAAAACGGAACAGTGTTGTTTTCTGACGGAGCAGAGCTAATGAGTTTGTAGACTGTGTGATGACCTATCTAATTACTATATCTTGCACCTTCTGAATTTTTTGTTTTTGACATTTTTATTGTTTATTATGAAGTATTTTAATGAATGCTTTTACAGTATTTGCAAAAAGTTAATTTTTAAAATATGTATTGAGTTGTGTGTAGTGTTAAAAAAAACAACACATAGTTAACAAAGCGCAAAATTCTGCCCAAATTTGTTCACCTGCAAGTTCTTTTTGAGGTACAATATTTGCTTGGCACTTACCCTGTTATTCAAGCGAGTGGAGGCCTCCTCCATTTGCTTGATTTGGATGACACTGTAACACCACTATCCAATTCAGGTCAGTTTTGTCACCCTTCCATACGCTATGTCGGTTTGGCCTTTAGCTTGGCGTAATGATATCAGGAGGGCCAGCAGTTTTCAGTATAACCACAGCTGTGAATAACAAACCTCTAGCTTGCCATTCAGTGGCTGACCATGCTTAGCTCCATTTGTTGAACACACCGGCGTGTGTTGGTTGGAGTTTAAACAGCAGCTGACACTTTGCAGGAAGAAGCTCCCATCACAACCAGCAGAGTGTAGAAGATCGAACATGCAGGACAGATGACTGGGCTACTTAGAACAGCAAAAGAGCTAGGTAGTATTAAAGTGCATCTTAGCCCAAATATTGCAGTTTATAATCCTTAAATGTGGTGACTGCATTATTTTTCATTTTATAGGCTTTTTTTTTCTTCTTTCCTTTTCACCTGATAATCCAGCCAGTAACATACTTCCTGTCTGTGGCTTCACTCTATAGATAGGTAATGGAGTCACCCTTGGATAACATGATTGTCATCCTGTGGGGAGGCCAGGGTTAGAGCAGATTTAGATGGACTTGACTAACAAATTAAAGCCAAATTTCAGCTAACACTTTTAGCTCAACTTTGTGCAGAAGTTTAGCTCGGGCTGAATTTAGAAATTGGATACAGGGACAGGCTAAAGGTGGCCATAGACCTTACAAATATTTTTAGATTTTTTTTATTGCCTTCATTGAACTGTCGTTCTGCACTACTGTCCCATCATGTGCGTACAATGAACTGCACAACTGCCCTATTATGCACAGACCAATGTGGATTTCAATTATCGTTTGTTAGCAATACGAACTGACCGAATTTCGTCCAACGGAATGGATTTTCGTTTGCGCATGTGCAGTGTTCGTGTTGCAACTTTTTTTTCCGTATGAAAACTCCACTAATCTTTTAATTTTCATACGATTCAAGAAATGTTTTCTAGCCTGCCTGATAGATGAAATCCGGCCAGTTGTACAGTAATTGTGATCATTGACTTCCCATCAACTGGCCGCAGCATTTAATTGGCAAAGCCACTTGGATGAGTGGTAAAATGTCTTAATCATTACAAAACAAATTGAGTTCTATATGATTAACTTCTATTAGGAATACCATTTCTTGTTTAAATGAAAATGGCCACAAATAAGCCAATCTATAATTACTGCACAACTGATTCAAATACATTTGACCCAAAATTTGGTTTGCAAATTAATATCTTCCATACAAGGATGCTACCTAAAGCTGCTTTTCAATTTCTCTGTGTGAAATGTTGGCTATATTAGGAAATAATGATGACAAACTGTGGGGTGGCGGTGACTTTTCTCATGGGTCATTGCTAAGTGATGCTTTCTGGTTTTGTTGCTTTATTCAATTGTAATAGAGTGCTACCATTCAGGCCAGTGCTGTAATAACATAAAATAATGTTTATTTGTTGTGGTTGTAAAAAATAAAGGCATAAGCACAGCATCCATAGTGATCATGGTTGATCAACCAAGATATTTCTTTTATACAGAATAATCCTCTTAAAAACATAGAGATGTGTATTTTTTACATACCGCTGTATCATGTGCGAGGGTGACATGGTGGAGGTGGCTAAGTAGCAGCCACTGACTGTGGTTGTACTGTAGTGTCTGTGTAGCCCTTCTGTCTTTAGCTGCTAGTGGTGGAGTTAATTAGTTGTGACTTGTAATGATGACCTCAGGACCCTGCTCAGCTATAGAACATATTTTTCTGCTAGAGAAGGGATTTTGTGGGGTGCACACGAAGGCTGCAGATAAAAATATATAAGTTGCACATAAATAATGAATGTGGGATATTTTGCTATAATTACATTAAATGATAATGTTTGCCTCCAGCTTTGCATCTTTGATCAAGCCATTTGCAATCATTCATTTTATTTATGTAGAAAGTGTACTATTAGTGTACTTGGAGGATCTGCATGCACATTCATTCGTGTGTTGCCCTTTCAAATGACAATAAATGGATCATATATGTGATACAATACAACTAAGGAAAAGGTTAATTGGATTAAATCCAATTTGTTTTCCAGAATAACTGATTACTCATCTTTGATTAAAACTATAGTTTATTGCATGATTCTCCCATTAATGCGTTTCAGGTTGTATCATTGCGTGTATGGCCAGCATTAGGCTTGGCTTAGATTAGAAGATAACTCATTGAATGACAGATGGTAAGACATATGACCCTCCTTTTATTACACTATAACCTTCTGCTAATTATTGTGGCACATTTCTGACAAATAGAAGCAGTCCATTTGCAGCCACTACCACCTTCCCTCTTCTGGTTGAAGTAGTATTAACGTCTACTGCAAGCAGTAGATAAATGCAAAAACATTTAAACAAATTAAAAAGTTCGCTCCCGGCTGCAGAATCCAGCTTCCCCGAAGGGCCGTGCAGAAGGTGAGTGCGGTCGCATGCACAGTGGAGATCACTGGCGGGAAGAATAGGCACAGTGAGAGAGTCAATGCACGCAGCCGTGAGCATGCATGCCAGACCTACTCCGTGGGACAAGAAAAAACAGCAGCCTGTCCTAGATCAGACACCGGCACCAGCGCCGGAGAGACTGCTGGAAACAAGTGGTAGGAGAAAAGAAGATGATCGAATCCAGAGGCAACATTTAAGTCCTTACAGCTGCATTGGGGGGGGGACTTGTGAGTTTAAAGGAGAACTATGGGGTTAGGGCTTTTCCCCATAGTTCTCCGAAGGGTAACTGAGTGAGTGACAGCTGGCTCTGCCTATCTAGAGGCAAAACCAGCTGTAGCCGCCCCCAGTTTCATTGTCACAGGTCGGCTAGAACTATGAGGATGAGTGGAAAGCACTCACCTCATAGTTCTTCTTTAACTACCTCCCGGCCGGCCGTTGCGTATACACGGCCGGCCGGGAGCTTCTTGGATGTAACTGGGCGTGTATACACGTCCTGTTACATCCACCCGCTCGGGCGCGCGGCGAGCGGGAAATGCCGGTTATTTTAAAACAGGCAGCGA